ATCAACTGAAACATTTGTGGTCTAAAAGGAGGAGTGGAGATAAAGACAGGAAGGGCTCCCTCACAGGCCTTCGTGATTATACTTAACATAAGGGGGCCAAGGGAGGGCTGATCATCACTGTAGAGATTCCTCTGCTTTTCTGGGGGATTTGGGAAGATACAGTGGGGGGATAAATGCTGGTATGACCATGCAGTGCTTCCCATGGGGCGGGAGGGAGATGGTGGTATGACCACACTTTTTTCCTTTCTTCCCCACATCACCTTTTTTATTCCTACCTAAGGCAGTGGCCCCATACCAAGGCTACAACTCTGGGTGCAAGAAGCAGACATGATTCCTAAGCAAGAAACTGAAACTATACTTTTAAACTTTTATGTCGGAATTCCTAAAGGCCTAATGGGGTGGGCTGTGCCTTGATCCCACCTGACAAACTGGGCTTGACAGAGAATGTAGATGTATTATTGCCTAGTGGTCAAGATAGCATGCTAGTTTTATAACTATGTAAATCTACTCTATATCATGAAAAGAGTGGCCTTGCAAAAATAACAGGAAAATACCTAATCCCACAATTTCCCAGTAACAGTTAAAGATCAACGCTGTAAGTTCTCTCACTAACAGACACCCTACAGGAATTCTGTTTTGCACAACTTCTGAAAAGAGCTGAACAGACGGAAAAGAGATGTAAATCTTTCCATTAAAATTGTTTTTTGAGAATCTGCTTTTACAGAGTTCCTGAGTAAACAGCAGGAGAACAAGCTACAGCCTAAATGGTATCCCAAGGGCAGAAGGGCAGAGTCACATCTCCTGCAACAATTCCATTTCCAAGGAAAGGCCGGGAAACCAACTCTTGGACTTTGACAACTTGCCGCTGCGTTTGTTATCAACTGACAGACATCACTATTTTTTTTCTCTTCGTCCCCCTTAAATCAGCAAGCCATTTGGGCTCAGTGCTGGCACCTCCTGCTCTTTCTTTGGTATGCCACGCTGTCTCCCTGCTCTCTTCCCTGCCCCCCACTTCACTATCTCACTCTCTCTCACCTCTAAGAAGATAAACGTTTTTTTACTTTTATATATCCTAATTTCTGTGTGAGAAATTTTTCTCTCCCCATGCCATGAGCACCTACTAGGCTTTCCACCCTAACATATCATTAGGAGTGGACTGAGCCAGAGGCACTGCTAGACTAGTATTGCTGCCAGCAATCTGTACCAACATACTGGCCAAACCTAACATCCCTTCCAAAATTAGAAAAATTATGTATAAATGAAGAGAGAGAGGAATGGTAGCTGAGATTTTTAAAATGAGTAAATTTGTTGTGTAATGTGGGAAATTCAGCATTACATTAGCACTTGTAAAGGAAAAATAAAATCTTAGGACCCCCAAAACTCATAATGCCAAAAGGTGTAACAGAGGGAATGGCCTGAAAAGACAGCAAAAATTTTTTCTTTTTAAAACATCTCCCACTCCTTCTGGAGAACTAAAACCTGCATTCCTGCCTCAGGCCAGTGGTCAGGAGGGTTAAGGAATGTCTGGTCCAGGGTAGAGGTCACAAGATTGTCTTCCAGGAGTTGGGATGGATGAGCAATAGCCTGAAGCTGGAAACCCTCCCTTTAAAAGCTCTGTATTTCTGCTTATGAGTAGGATGATGGCATTTTAGACAGGAGTCTCCATCTCCCCATTTGCTGGCAAATTAATAAATCTCTTTTTCCTCAACCACTTGTCCTTGTTCTTCTGATGCAGCCTCGGGGACAAGTGCCAGCTTTCAGTAACAAAGGGACTGCCATCCTCTCCCCAAAGCAAATAGTTATGATTTCATGACCTTATGCATAAGCCAGATTCCCACAACAAAGATCCTTTGCCTCTCCAGATGGCTTTCCTCACAGATTGCTTACAGGAAACTGCCTTGTTAGCCCCTAAAACCTTTCAGGGTATATGGCCCCTATAAAACAAGCACATGCAAATTATAATCTTAAAGCTACAATCTAAATAAATTCCTAATCCTGAGTTGTTAAATTTCACACTGATGATGTTGATTGCAAGTTTATCCCCGCAATGCAAACCAAAGATACATGAGATCAGCCCACTGCCTACCCCTCTCCATTTCCTTTCTCGTTTGCCCTCTTCTTTAAATACCCTGTTTCCAAATCCCTGGAAAGAGAGCCCAGGCCACAGATATGTTTGTGGCCTGTGCTTACCCCAGGCATGTCCTTAGACTTTGGCTCAATAAACCTCATTTGAGTGTAACTATTGGTTTCAATTACTCATTATTTAAGTTATCATACCATGAAAGAGGCTCAGAGCAAGAGATAATGTCTATTAGCTCAATTATACCAGATAAATGAAAGGGTAAAGCCATAGTTGGTGAGACCACTCCTGCTTTCAGAACCTAATAAAGTTGAATACAAGACTGTAAAGTGGAGTGATACCGTTCTGGGAGGTATTTTGGTCATATGAATAATGATCAACTGGAATAACTGTCAACGATTGACTAGGACTCTAGTAATGTGCCAGTATCTTTGGCTCTTATTTTTCAGGTTTCATCTACTGCCATCCTGTGACATGGTGTTAACACTAGCATTGTTGGTAAGGTATAATACCAGTCAAATGTATTGGTAAACTGAATTATAGCCTCATCAAGATGAATGCTAATGGAAAATGACTGGCTTGAAGAAGAACTGGACTAATTATCAGCTAATTTCTAGTACAAATAGTTCTGCACAAGTTTATCACAAGTAATATCAAGAAGGGGGGTAAGAAAGAATAATCAGTGCAAAAACAAGAAAATGTATACCGTGGCTTTATGGCATGAATCAGTTATTTCTTTCAATCTATCCCTAACCTACACTGGCTCCTCCAAATGTTAGGTATATTCATAATGATAGTATTGCTGTATCTGTTGCATAAATGCTATACTAAATGTAGATGCCCAGATAAACATGATTGTTTTTGCTTGAGAGCCTTGGCCAAAGACCAGAGGATGGCCTGTGCAGTAAATATAGATGCTCCTCAATTTTTGATGGAATTGTATCCCAATAAATCGATCATAAACTGAAAATACATAAGTCAAAAATGCATTTAATACAACTAACTTACCGAACAGCATAGTTTAGCCTAGCCTACCTTAAATATGCTCAGAACACTTACATTAGCCTACAGTTGGGCAAAAATCATCTAACACAAAGCCTATTTTATGATGAAGTGTTGAATACCTTAAGTGACTTACTGAATAGTGTACTGAAGGTGAAAAATAGAACTGTTCCATGGGTACCTGAAGTATGGTTTCTGCTGAGTATTGCTTTCACACCATTGTAAAGTTGAAAAATCATATTAAGTCCAACCATCTAATTCAAGGAATGTCTGTAATTTGGCCTTAGCCAAAGAGAGGTCTGGCCTTTGCTGCTATGAAGTAACCTATGTCATATCTGATAGCATTGTCTTTGCTTAAGGCAGAAGCTGGTGACACCAGAACTTAGGGTGGAGCTGGGCACATCTGACATTCTTAGGTCAGGGTTGGCCACACCAGAAAGAAACATCATGTGATTTAAGGTGGTGGCTGTGAGTCACATGGTATCAATCTGCCTGGAGGCTGAGATCAACCATGCAGGCAATCAATCTAATCAATCATGACTACATAATGAAGCCTCTATAAACACTGGAAACCAGAGCTTGATCGAGTTTTCCCATTGGCAATGCTCTGTATTTACTCTCACACATTGATGACAGGAAGTTAATGTATCCTGAGTCCATGAGAAAGGACAACAGAAGCTTTGTATTTGGAACCCTCCATACTCTGCGTTTCTTCCTTTGGTTGATTTTAACCTGTATCCTTCCTTTCCTTGTAATAAACCATAACTGTGAGTATGATCGTTTTCAGTGAGTTCTGTGAGTCCTAACAAATTATTAAACAAGAGGTTGGTTTTGGAAACCCCTCAATCTTTCAGTTTTTATTTTTTTGGAGACAGAGTCTCACTCTGTCGCCTGGGCTAGAGTGCCGTGGCATCAGCCTAGCTCACAGCAACCTCCAACTCCTGGGCTCAAGCGATCCTCCTGCCTCAACCTCCCAAGTAGCTGGGACTACAGGCACGTGCCACCATGCCCAGCTAATTTTTTCTATAGATTTTTAGTTGTCCAGCTCATTTCTTTCTATTTTTAGTAGAGATGGGGTCTCACTCTTGCTCAGGCGGGTCTCGAACTCCTGGCCTCAAGCGATACTCCTGCCTCGGCCTCCCAGAGTGCTAGGATTACAGGGGTGAGCCACCGTACCCGGCCTCAAACTTTCAACTGATGTCAGAAGTGAGGGCAGTCTTGAGGACTGTCCTCTCAAACTCTGCAGTTTGTCTGATTTCTCAGTTACTAACCCCATTCTACATAGAAAGCAAGGTGTAGAGAGTAGATAAACTGCCTGAGGGGGTAAATTTCTAAACAGCAGTAGTAGAACATGAATCCTGGTTTGTCTGACTTCTCATTCACATTTTAGTTTTTATATTACTTTATACAAGATGACCATAACATGTTAATAATACCAAGCATTATGGCCGGGCGTGGTGGCTCACGCCTGTAATCCCAGCACTCTGGGAGGCCGAGGCAGGCGGATTGTTTGAGCTCAGGAGTTCGAAACCAGCCTGAGCAAGAGCGAGACCCTGTCTCTACTAAAAATAGAAAGAAATTAATCGGACAGCTAAAAATATATAGAAAAAATTAGCCGGGCGTGGTGGTGCATGCCTGTAGTCCCAGCTACTCGGGAGGGTGAGGCAGGAGGATTGCTTGAGCCCAGGGGTTTGAGGTTGCTGTGTGCTAGGATGACGCCACGGCACTCTAGCCCGGGCAACACAGTGAGACTTTGTCGCAAAAAAAAAAAAAAAAATACCAAGCATTAGATCAGTATTTCATGAGTAGACATATCTAACTTTTGGACTCTTCTCATATGAAATTTGAACTTAAGTAATTATAGTTAACTATTAAGTGTAAATTAGCTATTTTTACTGTACACAGTTTTGACCATTACCGGTTTTGTGCAGTGAATGTTTCCCTCTGAGGATGAAGATCACTATAAACTACTCTGATGAGATCATGCTGGCACAATGCTCCTTCTGTCAAAGCCATGGATCCAATTGTTGAGGGCTACAAAAATAAGGTACAGTATGAGACAGTGTCTTTAAAAGGAAGTAAAAATCTATATCATGTAATGACATTTAATTTTGTTTCAAGGAAAGGCAGTTTCAGATCATTTATTCTTCTCCTTCAAAATATTTTCTATTCCTCAATTATATAAATTCTACAGCTCCTTTTGGAAATCATATATGTAAAATATATAAAACTAAAATAACCTGCTTTATTTTTTGAATATTATGAAATAAATCTATATTTAGGAAAGACTAAGAAAAGTTGCTGAAAAGACCAAAGGTTAAAAATATATCAATTTTGTCTATATTCCAGAACAGAGTATAGCTGCTTATAACACAAACAATATTGAAGACTATGATTAAATGTCTCTTTAATTCTAACATAATTGATTTCATGTTTCTAAAATCAGAAGAACCACCCATTCATTAATGCTTCACTACTCTTCATTTTATTTCATAACATAATACATAGAACTTCAACAAAATCTATTAGTGAGAAATATTCTATGCTAAAATGATTTCTGGCTAAATGGAAGACATTCTATTTCTAACACAAAACAAAGTCCCAGGGGAATTAATTAAGAAAATTAATAGCTGTATAGAGCTATGAGATAAGCAGGATACTGTGTTACTAGGAAAATGAAATATAATTTTTAGACTACTGGTAAAGTTTCTTTAAACACACTTTATGCACTAAAAGCCACCACAGACTGGAAGTTTGATTCATAACATACTGATTATGGATCTTATTGGATTTTATTTAAAGAAAGTAGATAGAAAGAGTTCAGCTTAACAGGCATCATCTACCTATATGATTATAAGCATTCTTACAGTCTTCCACCAAATAAATATAAACAAAAAAAGTACATTACTGAAAAGCTAGAAAACATCAATTAAATTCCTTTAAACTGAAATATAACAACTAAAGCATTAACATTCTTCTAAGCAGTTATTTTTCTAAAACAACTTGTTTTTTATAAAAACAAGGCTGGCGTGGTGGCTCACGCCTCTAATCCTAGCACTCTGGGAGGCCGAAGTGGGAGGACTGTTTGAGCTCAGGAGTTCGAGACCAGTCTGAGCAAGAGCAAGACCCCGTCTCTAACAAAAATAGAAAGAAATTGACTGGACAACTAAAAATATATAGAAAAAATTAGCCGGGCATGGTGGCGCATGCCTGTAGTCCCAGCTACTCGGGAGGCTGAGGCAGGAGGATGGCTTGAGCTCAGGAGTTTGAGGTTGCTGTGAGCTAGGCTGATGCCATGGCACTCACTCTAGCCAGGGCAACAAAGTGAGACTCTGTCTCAAAAAAAAAAAAAAGAAAAGAGAATAAAAACAAATCAATCTAACAGGTGATTTTCAAGCAATATGGGAGACTTTAAAAATTTTCCATTAATTACTTTCTGCCTCTCTTGTCACAGCTCACTCTTACATCACTAATAACAAATATCTAGTTTTAAGAAACAAATTAGTAAAGATGTTTTAGAAATATTTACCTCCAGTAAGAAATTGACTTTTTATCTCTTACTCAATATAATTTTAAACATTTCCACATTTCCAGTGTTACTTACTTCGTGATATATTGAAGGCTTGGATAAGGAAGGAATAGTGAAAGATAGAACTTTATTGTTTCCATCTTTATCAGCAATTTCCTATAGCCAAAAAATATACAAAGATAATGAAATAATCACAAGTCTATATTATAAAAAATAATAATTACTTTCTTAACCTATAGAATATATCATTGGCAATTGAGAAGATTTTTAGAAATAGTAATATATAAAAATATGTCTACCCTAGTGTATCTTTTCTAACTTAGCAAATCTGTACACTTTGGTAGTAAGGTTATAATCCACAGAGAGATACTAAGCAAAATACTATGCTAAATCAAATACAACATGACAGCAAAGATATAAGGCAGGCACCCAAATCAATTTTATGTTAAATTTACGTACAGGACAGGGAGATTACAAGTGATTGGATATTTTAGTAGGAACATGGCTGAGCTAACAGATTAAAATCAAAGGTCTTAACCAAGAGATCCACACTTACTAAACAAGAAAAACACATTGTTCTAACAGAACAATCTTTTTTCCAGCTTTGAGGTATAATTGAGAAAAATTATATATATTTATGGTATATAACATGATGTTTTGATATATGTATACACTGTGAAATGATTACCACAATCAAGCTAATTAACATATACAATACCTCATACAGGTTTTTTAAATGGAGAGAACACTGAAGAATGAATCTTGAATGAAAGAAACTCTTACAATCATTCAGCAATAAACTACCTGAAATACGCTACATATTAACCAATATTAGTCCAAGTGATTAAAAGCTACTGAGCTGCAAGAAAATTCTTGTGACATTTTAAAAAGCATTTTATCTCTTCATAAAAAGGGCAATGGATATCCTTCATTTCTCCAGCCTCTGGCACCTCCAATCTTCCTCAGGTATCAATAGGTATATACCTACAAGTGACAACAATCAGAGGAGTACAAGCTGCATCACTTCTTTTCCCTACTCCCTTATTTTTTTCTGTTTCTTTTACAACTCATATTAATATGCATCACTGGCATAAAATCCATAGAGAATTCTGCTCTTAGACCTACATGGTAGACAGTCAGAGATTGAGTGGCTGCACAGTATAAAAGGAAGAAACAACAATAAAAACAACAAAACCCAAAAGAAGTTCTCTATAGGCCTCATTTTTGAGTTTGTTATGTCATAGGAGAGTACCAATTATATGTGAATAATGGCCATACCTCTAATTTTGGCAGGCAAATAGATTTAAAAAGTACTATGAGAGGTCATGTAACTTCTCTGTAGTCAAACTATAATAGTTCCCACCACATCTGGGCCACGAAGAGGGTGCGCTGAAATTTGTTTAAGCTGAAGCAATATGAAACTACCCCTGAGGCTACTTGAGGAAAGTAGTGTTGGAGAAGGAAAGAGGAAAAAGGAGAAAGGAGAATACAGAAGAAATCCAGTGTGGTAAGAAAAACTGAGAACTAGAGAGAAGAAAACACAGACATCAAGAGAATTAAAAGAAATCAGAAGCCTAGGGTTACGTTTCTGACATATAACTGAGCATTTTTTCATAGTACACTAATTTTGAGATGCCAAAAGATAATTAAACCATAGCACCAACAGCACTGCCTATCGACCATCTTGTTTTACAAAATATTTTTGCTTCATTTGTCCTATTACTGAATTTTATTACACTAAACAAATTAATAAAAATGATACCTTAATGTTAAACATAACCTAAAACACTAAACTCAATTATTAAATCAACGAACATTTACTAAGTGCCTGTGATAAGCACTACAGAAAACAATGATATATTTTTAAAAAATTCCTTTTTTTAAAAGAAAAAACAATCAGGCAAGTTAGGAAAGTAGAGAAATTTATTCCCAGACCCGCTTTTCATTTTTAAAAAACCCACTTACAATTTTGATGATAATAGTAATGATAAACATTTATAAACACCTTAGGCAACATGCTGAATTTTTCGAATTGCTTTTTTTTTTTTTTTGAGACAGAGTCTCACTGTGTTGCCCGGGCTAGAGTGTCGTGGCATCAGCCTAGCTCACAGCAACCTCAAACTCCTGGGCTCAAGCGATCCTTCTGCCTCAGTCTCCCGAGTAGCTGGGATTACAGGCATGCGCCACCATGCCCGGCTAATTTTTTCTATATATTTTTAGCTGTCCGATTAATTTCTTTCTATTTTTAGTAGAGACAGGGTCTCGCTCTTGCTCAGGCTGGTTTCGAACTCCTGAGCTCAAACAATCCGCCTGCCTCGGCCTCCCAGAGTGCTGGGATTACAGGCGCGAGCCACCGCGCCCGGCCCTTCGAATTGTTTTTAATCCTACTAACAATGTTTTATTTCTGTTTTACAGATGAGGCAACTTAAGTCAAGATACTAAGTAATTTGCCGAAATTTAAAACAGCCAGTAAGTGCCAGGACATGGTTTTGAACTTAATACAAGTGATTCTAAAGCCCATGCTCCTTCCTTCAGACTTCTAATGATAGAAATGTTTTCTAAGTATTTTTTACGTGATAACACTTAGAGGAGCAATGACTGGTACAGAAGACTATTTATTAGGAGACTCAATTTTCTTGTACTTTGTTACCTTTCAATTATAAAACTAAACTTTATTATGTGAAGTATTTGTTTACAATGTGTCCTGAATACACAGAATACAAGACTCTGAAGGGCAGGAATTTCAATACCAATAGTCCTAAACTGGCATCATGAAAAAAAACAGAATAATAATGTTTAAGGTACCGAATTCTTTAGAAGAAAAGAGTTTCATAAATAATACAGTATCAAATTCATAAGATGTATCAAATAATTACTAGTAAATTTACAAAATTTATGATCAAACTACATTTTGAATTGGAAATTTATATAAGCAAGCTCTATATTCTAAAGCTAGACAGAACCAAAAGTGTTATGTCAGTAGTTTCTCAATTATTCCCCACTCAATGACTCCAAGACACACTCATAAATTTCACAATTCTTTCTTGAGGAATTCAGATAACTGTCCAATTTTGTAGAGGCACATGAAGGTAGATATATGATGTTGAGCTATTTTGTTCCCTTGCATTGCACATGAAAAGGAGCCTCGCTGCCAAGTCTTCAGAAAGGCCCTATACAGATGTTCTCATGTTCCCAAACTCTCCTGCACCTTTTCACTTTGTTTCCTACAGTCCTGGTAACCTTTAAGTTCTTCCCTTTCTGGCATATCCTCCCTATCTTGTAGAAGTAATCAAGTCTCAGTCTTCAAGTTCCACATAAGGCCCCTAAGCAACTCAGAAGTGTTAGTGCTTTCTTCTTTCCCTCTAGTTTCCATTGTGTTTTTAAAAAACATAACATGCTATAAAACAGTATATTGGACTTTTTTTTCCCTTAACTGATGCCCTCCCCTTAGAGAAGCAAAAATCCCATGTCTACTTCCCCTACTCTTCTCAATTATATATGTATCCTTTAAAATATAAGGAATAGTGATTACATCTAACGTATAATCCCAAAGTCTCTCTGCAGACCACCATCAGATTCATCTTCCTAATACATAAATATAATTCCTCTGTCAAAACTCTCTGTTTTAGAGAAAATCTAAACTTGAACTCTTCACTTTAAAAAGACTCTCTAAAACTGATACGAAATCATCATTTCCAGCTTGCATATAATATGCTATACCTCAAATCAAATTACTTTTTGTTTCCAGGACATGACTTTCCTGCCTCTCTGCTTATGCTCATTGATTACTTCTTCCTGAAATCTCACCTACTTTTAATTTCAACCTGTCAAAACTATACCTCTTTGTAAGGCCCAGCTTACATGCCATTGCTGCAATAAAGCCTGCCACGATAACTTCAGTTAACATCTGGGTTTCTCTCTGAAATCCTCTTATTCCACAAACTTTGCATTATTAGTCATCTGTAAACATGTCTTCTTTAGTAGAGCAGAAGTTCCCTAAAAGTAGGTACCACATCTAATTCTTCGCATTTTCGGTGTCCAGCTCAATATGTTATACAGAAAGCATTCATAAACATTGGTCAAATAAAATAATCTGAAGAATTAAGTCATCAATAATGTTATTTATGACTTATTTATTACGTTATGTTATTAATAATGTTATCAATTATAGCCCTACCTACTTTATAAAATGCATATCAACTTACACCTCTATACTTAAATAGTTCAAATAAATTATTCAGTAAACATTTTTCTCTAAACATTCCATAAGCATTATTTCATAGGACTTTCAAAAAATACTTAGACTTTCCCAACCTATCATTTTCAACTTACCAAATTGTAAATTCCTAACAGAAGTGCTTCAATGCAACCATTACTCTGTCTGTCTCGGCTAACTGTAAGCCGTAAATAAACCCACATCAATTCTGGCAAGAACTGCAATGTGAACCTCTTGAGTCGAACTTCAGAGCTACGATACAGTTCAAACAGCTGATGGCAGACAGGTTCCAGGAGCTAAAAGGCAAATAAAGTGCATTAGTTATCTACATTCTTTCAGCTATAACTATTTTTTTTTTAAAAGAGATGGGGTCTTGCTATGTTGTCCAGGCTGGAATGCAGTGGCACAATCATAGCTCACTACAGCTTTGAACTTCTGGGCTTAAGTCATCTTCCTGCTTCAGCCTCCTGAGTAGCTGGGACTACAGAAGCATGCCACCACTCCCGGCTCTGTAACTCTATTTTCTAAAAGATACATATACCTGCATAATATTTTAAAAATAAATTCTCAATATTAGTTTCTTCATATTTTGAGTTAATTCAACCAAAACCTTTAATCTCCACTTACGTAAAGAGACCACAAATTAAACTAACAAATCCACTAACTATAAGAAGTATTTTGTGCCCGTATAATATCAACGTACCTTTCAATACACTGTACTAAATATATTAGATAATTAATTAGTCCTTCAGCCAATTAACTACATTTATATTTGGTGATTTTCTCTTTTTGCTCTTACCAACTCTTATTACCTTCCATTTTAAAAAGTTTTCATTGGAATAAAATAATTTTAAATAATCTTGTAGAAATAAACTTTAAATCTCAACTGAGACTATGATTTAAGCAAATTATATACCACTGAGTACAGAAAAGGATTTTGTATCATATTTGGGCATCCAAAATTCTAGCCAACATTTTAAATACATACAAGTAAAAAACTGATTACTTTTTTGTTTCACAACTGACTCAAATTTTAATTATATTTATTTGAAAGATTTGGAAAAAGGGAAAAGTATATAGAAATAGCTTTTTAAATGTTTAATTGGCTAATTTTTCATATGATATCACACAGTATGACTTGTGAGGAACTTTATGACCTGCAAAAGTGAAGAAAATGAGCAGTTAAAGTAAACTTTCTCACTTTTCCCTAAGTGTGTATTGCCAATTTAGAATGGCTTTGCTCGAGTAACTACAGATTGCACAAAACTGGCTATGACTTTAAAATTCATATAAAACACTGACAAGAAACTATAAAACAATTTTTAAATTAAAGTTTAACACTAATTCTTTTAAAAACTAGTAATAGATCAGGAATTTCATATGTTTACCTCTGAATGATTCTGAATGATTAAAATAATGCATATACATTTGGAAATGTGCTTGAATGTAGTTATGTACGTCTGTAATAATCTAACATTCTAGAAAAAAGTCACTATCATAACTGTAAAGTTAAAAGTCAACAAATCTACGTCAATTGTATAGTTAATATATTTAGATGAGTTAAGCTCAGCTCTTGGAGAACAACTCTAAAGCTTAAAAAATTTACACACACACACATACCCGAGTCTAGAAAATACTAAGCCCTTTATGTGGAATCACCATCAGAGCACAGTTTTAAAATCTTCAAAAATACTCCATCTCTCCCCTAACACTGAAGTTTAGACCAGTCAGGCAATTTGTTGAAGGTCACAGAAGTTAGTTGTGGAGAAAGACACTAAATTTAGGTCTTCTTGTATCAAGCTGAGGTTTCCACTTCACCAGATTTTTTATACTACAATGGAAGTATGGGTTGTTTAACTGAAAATAGTACATTTCATGTAGTGCCAATAATGAACAAGTAATAAACTTTTGAAAACAGTCAATTGCTGGCATTTTCCTTAAATACTGACAGCAATGTTCAGCTCTTTTGGGGAAGTAAAGATTGTTGTTCTCATAAATTTATTTATTAAAAACATACACTTATGTTTCAAATTCAGTCTCTTCTTCAGTTAAAAACTCTCCAAAGACTGCCTTCTCTAAATTTTATGAGCCATGGGACAATTATGATGAGCTTCTGTTATAAAGACCTTAACCTTCCAGCGGTTATACATGCCTACGTTGGCACACAGGCCACTATATTTTAATTAAGCAGAGTGAAGAAATATAGATATCAAAATTATTACTCTGTTTTTTTTAAAGTGGAGGAGGGTGGATATTGGCAATCCAGTAACTTTTAGTCAGATATCACTAGAAAATAAGACTGTTAAAAACTTGCCAATGCTATCTATTAAAACCTTTAATTCTAAGCATGTGTATTAATACGTCATCATGCTCTCAAATTCTCAATATAATAAATGCCTCTGACCTCCCTTAAATGGCATTATCACCCATATCAAAAGGTGTTAAAAATCATTATCTTCAGGTTAAAAAATTCATAAGAATAACTGACACCTTTCCCAAATTTAGCAAACATTGTTTTGACATGATAATTATTATGACACATGCTATCTGATGAACACACTGAGAGCATTCTGGGTGAAAGAGTAGAGACTGAAGCCTAACTTGAGTGGGTTAAAGAAAGAAGGTGAGGTGAAGAAATGGAAACCAGTAGACAGAGGCTATAAATAAGGGACACTTTATGAAAGTTTATCTGTGAATAGGTAGATAAAATAGGAGGCAAGGTGAAAGGTTTTTGAAAAGTAGAATATGGTTGTTTACCACATTCCATTCAGCAGGGAAAGAAAAAAAATCTGATGGAGGGGAGAGGGGATAACTACAGGAGCAGAGTCCTTGTAGTGGCTAGAGAAGATGGGATCCAGGCCTAAGTAGAGAAGAGGGCCTTTGATACAACCTGGAACACTTCACCCACTGAACACCAGAAAAGGCAAGAGAGTGGGTAGAGATGCTGGTAGAGTGGTAGATTTGAATAGGAAAATAAGAGAGCACCCAACTATTGTCTTCTTCTTTTTTTAATGACATAGAAAGCAAGTTGAAAATGAAGAAGGTGGGTAAGAGTATGAGGAAAGAGAAAGTGTAAAATGAACACTGTACCAAGGAAGCAAGATAACACTGCAAGGCTACATTTCATGTGCCCATTGGAGATTTGTAGTCCTAAATTCAAAATGGAGAAGGTAAACAAAATTGTGTTTTCTCCAGGCATGTTCAGCTGCTCAGGTACAAGCAGGAAGTAAATGGATGGCTGAGTTTTACCCAGTGTTGAGATTTTTCCCTAAGAATATGAGTTAAAGAAATGAGAGGCAAAGGAGCTAAGAATGTTTGCAAGGGAATAACCGTAATGATGTACCACAAAAATTTAGCTAGGAAAAGAGAGAAGTGAGACATTGAGAGAAGGAAGAAAGGCATTCAAGTAATGAAAAAGTGATAGGGTTAATGGACTGGAGGTCTACTTGAAGTAGAAGAACTGCCAGAGTGACTAGGGATCTGTAAGGAGGTATAAGAAAAAATTAAAGCAATATGTTGGTCTAGAATTTATTTTTATTTATTTATTTTTTGAGACAGAGTCTCGCTTTGTTGCCCGGGCTAGAGTGAGTGCCGTGGCGTCAGCCTAGCTCACAGCAACCTCAAACTCCTGGGCTCAAGCGATCCTTCTGCTTCAGCCTCCCGAGTAGCTGGGACTACAGGCATGTGCCACCATGCCCAGCTAATTTTTTCTATATATATATTTTTAGTTGTCCAGATCATTTCTTTCGATTTTTTAGTAGAGACGGGGTCTCGCTCTTGCTCAGGCTGGTCTCGAACTCCTGACCTTGAGAGCGATCCACCCGCCTCGGCCTCCCAGAGTGCTAGGATTATAGGCGTGAGCCACCGCGCCCGGCCTGGTCTAGAATTTAAAACAGAGCTGTAACATAAGTTGGTCAGGACATGTAATATTAAACCTCCAGGAAATACATGTTCTGAAGAACTTTTATAGTCTTCAAAACAAAATTGTAAGGTTTTGTAAGTTCCAATTCATATAAATATGGCATATGACAACTCTCTGAAATAATTTATTAACTCAATAGTATACTTATGTTTCAGAATATAACAAAATCAGGACTAAAAAGGGCCTCCTTCTATGACTGAAGTCCAGAATTGTTTTGAGATTCCATAGAATTTATCACTTTGTTTTTCTGAAGTCTGAACACATGGTTAGAAAGTTACGACCTGACAGGAGATACAACCGAAACCCAGATCTGCCCTAGCAACTGGTTGATTATAATGAATGCTAGGTTTGAACTCAGATCTCTCAAGTTGTAATTTTTTCATTACTAGCCATGATCCCAAGGTCTCACACATTAATATCATGAAGTATCAAAATTTAAAACAATGAGAATAACTTTTCTTAATGTCATAGCATCCAAAGTATTTAAGAAAAGGAAAAGGATACCTTTTAAACACTTGTGAGCCCTAATGAAAATGTCATTTTAGAATCTCATTTTGTACTTCACTGTTCTTCCAATCAATATTTATTACATGTTATGTACATAAAATGCTAAATTCTGGAGAAATAACAAATACAGAATATATGACCACTGCCCATGAAGAGCTTACAATCTAAAGAGAAAGCATAAGACAAATTTTAATAAGCAAAGCTTAAATGTTAAGAGCGCAAAACAAGGGGTAGAGAATACACACATTCATTATTCAAACAGAAAATTCCTGAACAAGAAGGATATGCATATGTGTACATTACCTATACCTAAAGTTATAAAACATTCAGAAATAACACCGCAAGAGAAAAATAAGCAAATGGATCCTGCAATTGCTGCTACGAATAGCAGGAGATGCAAGTCTAACTGAGAGCCAATCCAAATTTAGGAGACAGAAAAGAAAGAGGTCAATAAGCAAGCTTTTAGTGATAGGACAAAAAAATGAAGATGCATTTTAAGTTAAGCTTCTGGTTAGGAGATGATTACCTGAACTTCTTCAAACTCACTCCAGTACACAGCAGTGGCACTCTTGGAGGCTGTATCTGGGAAGATAAGAAGCTACTTTCCTGTGTGTTCCTTTCATTTTCATTTTAAAGCATACATGAATCCAGTGGTGATAAAATTGTATGTCATACTACTGTGTTAATGGAAAGATAATGTGTGTATTTTGCATACGTTAACATATTAATAGATTCAATAGCTGCACTTTTTCCTTCTATCACAAGGCTGAATAATAGAAAATTCTTATTCTAAGTTTACTGATCCTGACTATTAAGATTAAAAAGTGCTTCCTGTGATCATTTTCAGGCTAAATTTACTAGCGGCATCATTTCATGCTATAAGCTTGATTTCACTGACTAGAGTGATTATACATAGTTATATATTATTAATAAAATAACTGTAAGTAATACTTAAAATAAAGAAAGCTAAATTGGTATACAGTTAAAATATGGCTTCCAGAGCAGGAAACAGAAAAGATTCAAATTAAATAAATGATTGAGATGATGGTCACTCAAATCAAGAATCAAAACATACTACCCTCAACAGGAAAAAATTTGACCAAAACATTTTAAAACATGGAAAGGCAGGGAAAGGGGAAAGCCAAAGCAACTATCAGAATGAAAAACAGCAGAAAGAAAAATTTTCAGAACCACAAGAGAGAAAACTATAAAACTCACATTTATGTGTTTTAGTACACATATTTCATTTTACTATTTAGAAATTACTTTTCTACGTCCTCTCCTACCTCATTATTAGAATCTTGAATAACTTTATAGAGGGCTGGTACAAGTGTTTTTTTCCGGTGTAAAGTTGCTGCATAACTGGTGATCTGAGTGTCAGGTAATGCCTAAAAGAAACCACCAAAGGAAAACAAAAGTGAACTTAGTATTTGGGAAGTCAGGAACTTTATTTTACACGAGTACCTCTTGAAAAGATTCATAATAGAGGCAATTAAGGAAAGCAAAAATCATTAACATAAGAAAATGACAGTTAACAGAAATTAAATTAGGATGTTATATTATACAAATCTTCTAACTACTCAACCATGAAAAATGATGAGAAAACACATATTATACCAAGATTTGCCAAAATGGACCACCTTAAACTAATCCAATCTAAAAAAACTAATGTGAGATGTATTTCAATTTTTGCATTTATGTTTTTACAAAACATTTATTTCCATAGTATTCATAAATTATATAGTTTTCTATCAAAACTATTTGATTTTTAATTATAGGAAATAAAAACATAAGACATAAATCCTGTTTTTATGCCTTATTAAATCTTGGAGGCTCCTCTCTTTTATTGAATATATTTAAAAATTTATTAATAAATATCCCCTAATCAATCCTAACAACTATTTTCATTTTTACATATTACCTTCTAGCCCTTATTCACATTAGTGCTTTTTTTAAGAACTGCAATTATTGAAACACGTTATTTCATATTTTGCCATTTCTACTTCACATATTTGTATATATTTCTCCATAGAATGCATATTCACTGCTTGAATTACTGACATAAAGAATCATATAATAATACATTCTTATCCCCAATCCAATTTACCTTGAATTCTGATAACCATTCTTCCACAACACTACGTTCAGATCCCAGCATCTTCTTTTACCTTCTATTTCTCTTTTATCTGTAAAGAAAAAAAGCAGTGAACCTGAGGATAGTATTACTTGCAGAAACTACCAAAAGTAAATGATGTATGCCTTTCACTAAAGGAGACATTCATTTAGTAAATATTTTAGATAAGGAGACTTGCTTTTAGTTTGGAATGCAATTATAAAACAAAATTTTTCAAAAATATGATAATTTCTATTTTTAATGATACATTTGAAACCTATTATCCTAATGCTTTCATATTTTCCCCAGCAATTATACTTCAAAGAGGGAAAGGCAAGTGTCCTGACTGAAATCAAACTGCACATTATCCAAGACAAATGAACAGTCTATTCCTGGAGCTCTTACAAAATATAAAACCAGCATAAGTTACACATCACAGAACAAACCAATGTGACAGATAATAAATGACAAAGCTACATAAGCTAGAAAGCATGGGTCATATACTCAGCAAACTGATTATAAACATATATGCACTATACAAAATAAGGCCTCTGAAGAAGATAGATCCATAAATTGTCTAAAATGGAAAAATGCCCAAAGAGAAAAAGCAAGCTGTATAATAGGATGTAAACTATAATTCCATTTAAATCCTAAGGTAGTTGCCCCTGGAAGTTTCTCAGCACCTAAATAGGCAACTGCCCAAATAGTAAAAAAGGGACTAAGAAATTCATTGATTCACTCCATAAATACTTTTTAAGCACCAACTATATGCCAGTCATTATGCTAGGAGCTAGAAATACAACGGTAAACAAATCCAGATGTAGACCCAATCTAGTGAAGCATCTACCTAGTGGAGGAGACCAAACACATTTTTGCCAGGAGATGAAGGATAAGAAAGGCACACAAAAGCATAAAACAAAGGAACCAAACATTGACTAAGGAATCAAAAGAGGCTTCTCTGAGGTGTTGCTTAAGCTGAGATGGCAAAGATCCACAGAGTTAAGGGGAGCAGAAAAAGAACATTCTAGGAAGAGGAAATAGCCTATATAAAAGTCCTGTGGCAAGAAAAGACACAGGAAGTTACAGAATCTGAAAGAAGATCCAAGTGGCCTGGAGCACAGACAAGGGACGAGAGTTGAGGGTGGAGAGGCAGGCATGGTCCAATGGTATAAGAAGTCTAAAAATGTCATTGTAGTGGTACAAAAAGGACATATTTTTCCAAAATAAACAAAATCAGAACTTAAAATTATGCCCATATCTCTATTGCTAGATAATACTGATTTTTATTTTTTATTTACTAGAAAATTAAAAAAAAACATTCCTGCTGTATCCTAACTTTTATCTTTATAATTTAACAAATACGTCTAGCTGTAAAAATTTAGTTTTATTCATTTTTAAATAATTTAAAAATATTTATTATAAATAATATATGCCTATAAAAAACCAGAAAGTCCAACTATCCATCCCACTCACAAAGATAAACATTATTAACCATTCTTTCAGATCTATATTTATATATATATCTATTTTATATGTGTGTATATAATTTAAATATAGTCCTGCTCATATCATAGTGTTCTACATTGTGCTTTTAATTAATACATTTGCTAAAGATACTTCAAAGATCTATAGATCTTATTCTTTTTAATGGACATAAAGTGTTTAATTATAAATATAAACCCTTATCTGTCCGATAACTTACTGATGGACACACAGATTATTTTTGACTTTCTTGTATTACAAAGAAATGTTACAATGAACATGCTTTTATATATATATGTGCATTTATGTTGTTCTCTCCTGTAATGTAAATTCTAAAAATTGAATTTGAAATTTTAAGATTGTAGGATATAAATATTATTGATAGTATATCCAAATCTAAATACACTCTCCAGACTATAACCCTTCACAGATTTTTAAGGAGTATATGACTGTTATATGTACAATAAATTTTCCTGCTCTATACTTACAAAGCTACTACACCTCAGCATAGAAACCTAAATTAATCTAAATATAAAACCTTTAATTTTCCTACATTTATTAATATATTACATAAGAATTTTAAAACTAGTACAATAACAATCAGAATCGGAACATTCTAGTGAGTTCCTACTGCTAAAACATTACTCCGGAAGTTATTTTAGAATGTGATATGACAATATCTAACAATTTTTTTCTCTCAATTGCTCTAATACATAGTTTGCATGTCCTTTTTTTTTTTAGAGATTGAAATGCCACTAAAGTCTCACATATATGTGGAACTATTTCTGAGCTACTTTTCCCATTGATTTTGTACCATGACTGTAACCTTTTAATTACTGAGGTTTTACAATATATTTTAATATATAACAGTACAAGTCATATCCTAATTCTTTATTTTCTAAAAATATATTTCATCATTATTGCTTACTTCATTCTTCTAACTGAATTTTAAACTTCTGTTCATGAGTTTCTTCCCCACACCCCATTCCTAGCAAAATTAAATTTATACGTTAATTCCAAATTACATCTTCACAATACTGAATTATCTCGTACAGGAACATAACACTGTTCTTTATTAACAATCCTCTTTTATATGTCTTAGTATAAATTTTGCGTTTTCCTTATATAGGTCAAACCAATTTCCAATTAATTCCTAGATAGTTTGTATTTTTTGCTGCCTCTGTGATTGGATTCTTTTCCATTATGCTTTCTAACTAGCTATTGTTACACACACAAAAATGAAGAGAGAGAAAAAAACCATTTTTTTAAACATCAAAATGAGTAAGTTTTTAGATAATTATTTAAAATGTTGAAAATGATTTAAATGAAGATTTCTGTTTTAGGAAAAATGTATAAACTAATAAGTCATCTTTTAGTTAACTACAAGGAATTAGAAGATTTTTTTAACGTATGGTATTTTATAGAAAAAGTCAAGAAAAAGCAACTACAATTAATCAATATTTTTTCACATTTTCTACAAAGAACATAAAATGCTTTTAAAATAAAAAAGAAACCCAAATATTATTTTCAAAAAGAAACACAAATCTTTTAAATCTGATGCATATTATATCAGAATCCCTATCAAATATAGGGCCCAGAGTATTTACTTTGGAAAAGCTCCCCCAGTAATCCTGATAATCATCTTCAAGTTAAAAAAAAAAAAAAAAGAAAAAAGAGGGTAATTTATTTTAATTCTTATTTGATCTCTCCTACAACCACAAATTTAGCATATCAAATTTCTATAGTTTCTACCAATATCATTTAAAAAATGACTGAAAGTTAAATGTCTTTAAATAGAGAAATACAGTGGTATTGATTACTAACTACGGGGTGTCCCAAAAGTCATCATACATAGGGAAAATGAGAAATTGTCGCTAAATGTACCTTTATTTACAAAATATTCATTACAAAATTTTTTTGTAATATTTGGTGACTTTTGGGATACCCTGTATAATCATAACACCATCATATTCTCTCAACTCTATAAAACTACTAGTTTTAAAACAGTAATTTATGGCTGGGCGCGGTGGCTCACGCCTGCCCTAGCACTCTGGGAGGCGAAGGCGGGTGGAT